CCATGTTTGGCGAGCATGTTTGGTGGGTCGGGAATTCGAACCCGCAACCCTCAGATTGCGAGTGGAGTGCCTTAACCACCTGGCCATGCCGGGCCTATTGTGTTGAGATGGATAAAACTTTATAAGTTAAAAAACTAAAATCGTCTTTAAAAGCACACAAGTTAAATAAGAGTACACTAACTATTTAATTTTCCTTGCATGATAATTTTAAAACTTTTTGTAATACCAGACATTTTATTTTATTCATCAATGCCACGTTGAGCATCAAACACTCCCTTCTAGTAATCAACAACAATGTATATATCCTTCATATCAATACAAGATTCGTGTGTTTTGACTTCTGATAACAGGTGTGAAAATGGGGTCAAAAGCTATTCAGTTTACCGACGTGCCATTCTTTATGCTCATCGCTAAATGATTTACAGCGTCGCATAACGTGATATTAGAAGGCAAATGTAGTATCAAGCTGTACTACATCATTTATACTCCTTTTAATTTAAAGTCACTGATTTTTTTTTCATTTTCACTATAATTCCACAAATTTGAATATAGCATTGTTAAAGCAGGTTTCTAACCTTAAATTTCCCGAGTGGCTAATTGGGTCAAATGAAAATTATATGCCTTCTTATCTGGTTCTCTTACAGAAATATCAACGTACTTTTTTACTTAGTATGCTGTTGTTGTTGTTTTTAGTCGACTAGTCACGCAGTAGTTGTAGGTGGACTGATATAACATGCACCAATCACTTTTTCTTGTGTCAGAATCTGGAAGGTTTATTATCATAATTGAAATAGTATTGAGGCCTGAAAGAGCAGATTTTACTTGTAAAATGCTAACGAAATATTTTGTAGAATAACAGAGTTAGACTTATTTTGATCTTCGATTGCCGAAAATGGATTTGTGTATTTTTTATGTAGTTTTGCTCTCTGAGAATTCTTTAAGTTCTCTTGTAACTTTAAAGTTAACTTTTATTTTTGTTTGTACAAGCGTTGTTTGGTTTTCACCTATAATTTAGTTAAGGATTTAAGTTCACCAGTAGGCGTATTGTATTTACGTTGTCCCACGGTACAGTTTATTATTGTTATTTAGTAAGGTTAAGGCAAGAGGCAACTTTGTTGTGTTACATTTTACCTTGAGACACTCTCTGTTTGCAATTATCTTTTATATGATAGCTTACATATAAACACACGGTCACTTACCTTTTTTAAATTCTACGTTTACAGATTTAAACAATATTCCTCATCTTGAACAGTTGATAGATGAAATTAAGATCGAAGAAAATGATCAAATTAATTGAGCTTGTTAAGAAAAAATTGGGAAGTTGAAATAACAATAAGACTCCTGGGCCAAATAATAATTCCCCGAGGGTTTTGAGGAGGTTAAGGATTGGATATGTGAGCCACTTGCTATCATTTTTTGTAAGTTATTGAATTGTAAGAAGGTTCAAGAGGATTGTGAGTTGGCTAATGTTACTTCTCATTTCAAGGGAGGTGATAAAAATTGTCCCAGTAAATATAGGCCTATTAGTCTTACATCAGTTGTAGGAAAATTTTTTGAAAGTCTGATAAACGATGCTTTGCAATTTCATTTAACA